GGCGTTGGATCAGAGGGCCGGGCCCCAGAAGGCTGAGGAATAACAGGCCCTCCCACTGGGGCATGCTAGGTAAAACATCCATCTGCTGTGCAGCCCTCAGCCAGAGACTAAACCCAGAGCCCCACCTACAGACACAACTAGCATGATATTCAAATACAGACTCATATCACGTTTTATATAACCAAGTCATAATGAAAAATAATAATAATATGCTCAAAAACAGACATTGGTCCTCTCAAAGATACTGTTTCAAAGGAAATAAGAAATGTTTATTTCATAACTAATATTATGCTTAATACTGAGCTTTATTAAACAGAGAATGTGAATGTTTTCATTCATTAATAGCACCTGTACAGTATAGTGCTTTACTACGATATACAGTTGAAGTCAGAAGTTTACATACACTTAGGTTGGAGTCATTAAAACTCGTTTTTCAACCACTCCACACATTTCTTAACAAACTATAGTTTTGGCAAGTCGGTTAGGACATCTACTTTGTGCATGACACAAGTAATTTTTCCAACAATTGTTTACAGACAGATTATTTCACTTATAATTCACTGTATCACAATTCCAGTGGGTCAGAAGTTTACATACACTAAGTTGACTGTGCCTTTAAACAGCTTGGTAAATTCCAGAAAATGATGTCCTGGCTTTAGAAGCTTATGATAGGCTAATTAACATCATTTGAGTCAATTGGAGGTGTACCTATGAATGTATTTCAAGGCCAACCTTCATACTCAATGCCTCTTTGCTTGACATTATGGGAAAATCAAAAGAAATCAGCCAAGACCTCAGAAAAAGAATTGTAGACCTCCACAAGTCTGGTTCATTCTTGGGAGCAATTTCCAAACGCCTGAAGGTACCACGTTCATCTGTACAAACAATAGTACGCAAGTATAAACACCACAGGACCACGCAGCCGTCATAATACCGCTCAGGAAGGAGACGCGTTCTGTCTCCTAGAGATGAACGTACTTTGGTGCGAAAAGGCAATGCTACCAAATACTAATTGAGTGTATGTAAACTTCTGACCCACTGGGAATGTGATGAAAGAAATAAAAGCTTAAATAAATCATTCTCTCTATTATTACTCTGACATTTCACATTCTTAAAATAAAGTGGTGATCCTAACTGACCTAAAACAGGGAATTTTTACTAGGATTAAATGTCAGGAATTGTGAAAAACTGAGTTTAAATGTATTTGGCTAAGGTGTATGTAAACTTCCCACTTCAACTGTAGACTAATAACTAGGCCAGGCTGACCCAGACATGGAGGATTTCTTTAAGAGTAATTTTGGATTACTATTACACTGGGGTGCTGTCCAACTGAGCAGCCGTTTAACCAACTTGGGCAGAGCGGAAAAGGCTGTAAGGACACGCCTGACGCCCAAACCCATATTTCAATTTATTAAAATTAGGTTAAGATAAGGGTCCGTTTTTGGCTAGTCAGTTGAAGAGTCAGCTGTGTCCTTATCTCTCACGGACAGAGAAGAGAGCTCTTGTTTTGAATTGACTTCTCTACTGTTCCTTAAAAAAGGTAGTTCCTAAAAGAAAATAAAGTTTAACACAAAAATAAATGTTTAAACGTTTTCTTAACAATGTTAATATACACACAAAAAAACAGAAATACTAAATCAATATGGATTATGAAAAGGGTTGAAGATGATGTTGAGAGATTCAGATATAGCAATATGAATCTTTTAAAAAAATGACTTAAATCTGCAACATTGACAGAAAACAATGCTTCAGATTTAGAACCACTGCCCTGGCCTGCACGTTTAGAAGATGACCGTTACTCCACTTCCTCTTTTGGAGACGTTCACTTCCTGCTAGATAGATTCGCCCCATTTCCTTGTTCTCCTGACCTTTCAATTATTTCCTCCTTCAAATGGTCACAGAGAGAACATTGTTTTACTATTACTACTATTTATCCTTTAGTCTCATAGACGTCATAAGTTGTGGGCCGAGCTATGAGAAATCTATGGCTCTGCTCCATTCCTTCTGTTGCCCTTCAAAAGATACGAACATAAACAAACTTTATTCGTAGAGACCGGAAAGAACACGTGAGCAGCCTTATCCCGTTCCTGAGGTCAAGGGGAGGCTTGTGGGGCGCCGTGGGTATGGCCTGACCTGGACAGGGATCATGGTTCCGCTAGTGGCGCGGCGGATTTAGGAATAGAAACTCAGCGTGACACCAGATAGCTGCAGCGTGTCTGTCTGCAGATAAAGAAGGTGTGTTGAACCCCGTGGGGTTGCATCTAAAATATCCCTTCTGAAAGCCGGGCCCGGCCAGACAGACTCAGTGACTCAATCAGCATTCAGCGCAACATCACATTCAATATACTGTGACTTTTGACTTTATGCATTATCGTTATACATTATACAGTTACTGATTTTCAGTTCGACCCAGATAGGCTGTTTGGGCGGAAGTCATTCTTGACTAAAGAACAAAACGTCTTCCAGTTGCTTATACTCTCCCCTTTACTACTTCTAGCAATCTATTACTTGTGATTTCCTTCATTGCATCATCAAGGCAACACTGCAAGGATAGCTACAATATAATAGGACACCTACTCATGTCTGTCACGGGGAGGGAGCTCAGATGACACTGTCATTGTGTGTGAAGCAGTTATAGAGTTCAAAGTGGAGACAGAGTGAAGAGTTTGAGTTTATGTCAGGAGAGAGACTGACACTGACTGTGTGGTTCTGGTAGAGCAGAACTATGGAAGCATGCTAGAGAGAGCGGTACACAGAGACTGATACAGGCAGAACGCTGTATGGAGGAGGAGGCTGGAGGATAGACAGAGATGTCCAAGAGAGATTTGGCCCAGTACAATTCAGTACAGTTTTTAGTAATTTTTGGTTGAGATGTTATCTCTGGAACACTGGGGAATCATGAAAATGATGATGTAATAGACATCATATATAACCAATTAATGATGAATAATGGATGAATATAGGCCTAATGTCAACACTACCTGATGAACCTCCCCCATACAGCGGCGCTACAGAGCCCAGGGACAGGCGAGCACACACGCAACGCACAAACTCTCCACACTCTCTCTCACATACAAACGACCACATCCACAGCACGACACACACACACTTACCCCTCGCCTCAGGCTCCGGAGGCAGGTCATTTTGGGTTTGGAGGCCATGAACTCGTTGAAGCGGTTGGAGAGGGGCTCCTTGTTCTGCTTGGGAGACTGGGGGTCGTTGGGAACAGCACAGGGTGAGGGGGGGCTGGAGGCTGGGGGGGCGGGGGGGGGGCTGGTGCGGGGACGTTAACAGGGACATAAGCTACCATTAAGAGAGGGAGCCGTGACCGAGGAGGACGAGGAAAAGGTGCAGAATCAAAACAAGGACAAAAAAGGAAGGAGGGAGGAACACAAAACGAGATAAATAAATAAGGGCCCAAATAATGTTATAAACAGGTAAGAGAAAAACCCAACCGGACCAGAGACAACCAACAGAGATGTCAAACACAAACAACCCCAGTGTCATACCCAGCTGTTATGTAGTAATGTAGTATAATCTTGTCAAACAAACATAAAGTAAGTAAAACAAAGGTCAAAGGTCATAACGTAACCAGAGTGAGTGAGAAGCGTTAATAGTGTGCAACACATTTAAGAAGACAGTTTCACAGAGAAGCACATGCAAGCTTCCATTTTGTAATATCTATTTTTTTGGAATCCTCATTACATGCGAGCGGTTGGTCTAGAAATTCCCCACATCCTCCGAAATGCGACAGCAGCTGAATTTCAGGTTATCATCACAGAAACCTAACTCTCTCTGCCCAAACCACTTAACGCTCAATTAATGAGCTACCAGCCCTTTGGGAGCTAGAGAGAGATCTGCAATTTGTACTGATAGATTGCTTACATTACTCAGTGAGTGAACATGCATTAAAGCGCTTTGGATACCCATCTTTTTAAAACCAAAGGAGTAAATGAAAAGTAAATAGATCAATGGTTTGAGAGATGAGTTCGGTTTATAGAAAGGGATACAACTTGGACTAGTGTCTCCCATCTTGGCTATGCTCTGGTACAAATGTCTCACGTTTTCACCATGCTTTGTGTGTGTGTATCTCCTCTCCTTCCAGGACATTCTGTTCTCCTCACACTCTCAGGGTACAGTACATGCATGGCCTCACTCAAAAGGTGAGGACAAATACTCTGTCATCAGCTTTCCCTTATGCTCTTGAGTTTGAACACACACACATTATGAACAGGATGAACACCAAACAAACAACACACACACATCATGGGGTTCCCTCTCTCGTGATCAAACCTCAGGGAGTCGGAGCTAATGAATGACATGCACGCACACCCTAGTTCTCTGCTCTATCATGGTGCCACCTCCAACCTTAAAACCTCATCCCAAATGGCCCCATGTTAGACAGCTGAGCCATACAGAAGCAAGGGGCTGCGCTGTGGGGTTGTGAGACGGCCATTCCAGACAGACCACCAGTGTAAGAGGAGGGTCAGTGAGGGAGACTGTTATTAGGCTACAGGACAAACAGTCAGGGTGCAGAGGAGTGAGTTATTCTGTCAGTTTCTCACCAGAGAGAGAGAGAGAGGAGGGAGGGAGGGAGGGAGGGAGGGAGGGAGGGAGGGAGGGAGGGGGGGGTGGTGGTGGGACTCAGTTATGGATGCATTAGTGGGTTGTTGTTAAGTTGAGAGTTGGTGGCTCAACGACAATGATGGTGACGATGATGACCAGTGAGTAACCAGCAAATAATAACAACCTCACTGACAATACTACTAACGTACTGTAATGACAGAATTACTGCAATTACAACAATAAATTAAAACAAACCCAACAGAACTATAACAATAACCAAAATTAAAGTCACATTTGACAGTGTAACCTATAACAACGTCCCCTGACAGTTACAGTATCTAAGCCTCGTTACAGCCAACAGTGTGGCCAAAAACAATCAACATTCTTGTACAGGGAGAATGAAGTGATGTCACAACCATTCCACAAATGCTACGCTAAACCCTGTGAGGTATCGCTATACACAGTACCTTCGAGTTTGTGGGAGTGTGAGTTACCTTGTTCTTGTTCTTAATGAAAGGCCACAGTTTGCCCTTGCTCTTGCACCCGCCGGGACGTTCCTTGGCCTCTCCTCGTGAGTTGGACAGGCTGGTCTCAGAGACCGTCCTCTTCATGGTCTGTCCCGGCCCGTAGTCCTCAAACTCTACGTCCCCCGGGGGCTCAAATCCAGACTTGTACGACTCCACTACCTGCTTAGAGTCCTGGTGGGGTGGGGTTGGGGGAGAGATGGCAGGGGGAGAGACAGATCTGTTAGGTCTCTCCTATCTCTTCTGGCAGTTAACAGTTTCATAATAACATTTGAATATGACCAGAAAACTCAATTTCTATTCCAAGAATTCCTAAAAAGCAGATTGAGTTTTTCTCAACCAATCAATAAGTCCAGAAATAGCACAGGCCAGACATAACTGTCCTGGTCCAGGAAGACTTAGTTTGTTATTGTTCTATTTTCGGTTGTTGTCAGTTCACTACTTCAGCTAATCAAGATGGCCGCAGAGGGAGGTCAGGCTAGGGGGGTTGACTCCACTGAGGAAGAGGGGAAAGACCTCAAACAGAGACAGAGGGGAAAAGCAGCGTTGGAACGGAAGAAGAGGGGAATGACCTGTAACTGTCACACAGGAGCTATGGTGAAAACACTAGAGGTCAGAAAGTGACAATCAGGACACCGCTCATGAATCACTACAGAGTTACAGGGTCTGTATCGGTATCTCTATCTTCATACTGATAAGGCCAGAGGGAAGAGGTTAGAGGTCATCAGCCTGGCTGCTGCTGGCGGTAGAGACAGAGCCATATATAGGGTTCTGTGGAGAGAGGATATGGAAGGGAGCCATTCCATGTGAATCTATTATTCCTACTATTTTTACTGGATCAGGCAACAGCACAGGCCTTAACTTAGTCATCTCCCCTCCTTCCCTTAGGGACACCCCAGGGATAGGCTTCGTCAAACCAGGCATGCAGCCAACATGAGACATCTCAATATATTAGGCTGATGATTTTCTATAGCTAGCACTACGATAGTGTCCACCGTCTTGGCATACTGGATTGAATGCTTGAAAAATCCAATGTTTTTTTGACTCAATGAGTCACGTATAAATGACTCACGTGTGTGTGTGTGTATGTATACTGTCAAGCCCAAAAAAACAAATGCGTATATGTTTTCTGGTGAAGTGGGGAACTGATAGTTAACTTTGTGTGTGCAGACAGTGAACTGGCCAGATCCAGACTAGCTGCTCCCTCCTTCCACAATGTAGTGTGATACTTCACGCAACACCCACACAAGCTAAAACTTCTAATTTGGCTCTATACTCCAGCATTTTGAATTTAAGATCAAATGTTTCATATGAGGCGACAGTACAGAATGTCACCTTTTATTTGAGTGTATTCATGAATGAATCATGAATAATGATGAGTGAGAAAAGTACAAATGTATAAATATCATACCCAACAAAAAATTCTAACCTCACGTTATTGGTAATGGTGAGAGGTTAGCATGTCTTGGGGGTATGATCTTTGTGCCTCTGTACATTTCTCACTCATCATTATTCACGATTCATTCATGATTAGCTGTAATTATGGTAGCATCCACATTAATGTAGAAGTGTACAGAAACATATTATATTCTTATTTTGCTTTATCTGCTATATCTGTGTAGTATTGTGTTGAGTTAGGACCATACACTTAGAAAAAAGGGTACCAAAAGGGTTCTGCGGCTGTCCCCATAGGATAACTCTTTTTGGTTCCAGGTAGAACCCTTTTTGGTTCCAGGTAGAACTCTTTTGGGTTCCATGTAGAACCCTCTGTGGAAAGGGTTCTACATGGAACCCAAAAGGGTTCTACCTGGAACCAAAATGGTTTCTTCAAAGGGTTCTCCTATGGGGACAGCCTTTTTGGTTCTAGATAGCACCTTTTTTTCAAAGAATGTACCGGCCCATACTGGTACCATACAGGTCAAACAAAGTTGGTGGCAGCATCACGCTACTCTGCTCAATCCAGTACTTGCCCCACCTCTCGGGTGGTCTACCAAACTTTATTACATAATACATTATTTACCATTAATTTCTATTGGGCACAATAATCTGAAACACAACCAAAACAAACTGCAAATGCATCCAACAAGTTTGTAGAGTCACAAGGTTGATGTAGTCATTGCGTGTTAGGAATATGGGAACAAATCCTACTACTACTACTTGACTACTTTAATACACATACAAGTGAATTTGTCCAAATACATATGACACCTTCAAATGCTTTCATTTCTAAATGGTAAACCAGATATGTATGAAAATACCCTCAAATAAAAGGTGACATTCTGTACTGTCACCTCATATGAAACATTTTATCTCAAATCCAAAATGCTGGAATATAGAGCCAAATTAAAAGTTTTAGCTTCAATGTCCACATACAGTGCATTCAGAAAGTATTCAGAAGCCTTCCCTTTTTTACATTGTAGAATAATAGTGAAGGCATCAAAACTATGAAATAACACATATGGAATCATGTAGTAATCAAAAAAGTGTTAAACAAATCAAAATATATTTTATATTTGAGATTCTTCAAAGTATCCGCCCTTTGCCTTGATGACAGCTTTGCACACTCTTGGCATTCTCCCATTTTTTTTTACATTTTAGTCATTTTAGCAGATGCTCTTATCCAGAGCGGCTTACAGTTAGTGAGTGCATATATATATATTTTTTTTTTCATACTCTCAACCAGCTTCATGAGGTAGTCACCTGGAATGCATTTCAATGAATTAGTATAAAAAAATATATATGTATGCACTCACTACCTGTAAGTCGCTCTGGATAAGAGCGTCTGCTAAATGACTAAAATGTAAAATTAACAGGTGTGCCTTCTTATAATAATAATAATAATTATTATAATAAGCCATTTAGCAGACACTTTTATCCAAAGCGACTTTCAGTCATGTGTGCATACATTTTTACATATGGGTGGTCCCAGGGATCGAACCCACTACCCTGGCGTTACAAGCGCCATGCTCTACCAATTGAGCTACAGAGGACCACAAAGTTAATTTGTGGAATTTCTTTCCTTTTTAATGCGTTTGAGCCAATCAGTTGTGTTGTGACAAGATAGGGGTGGTATACAGAAGATAGCCCTATTTGGTAAAATACCAAGTCCATATTATGGCAAGAACAGCTAAAATAAGCAAATAGTAACGACAGTCCATCATTACTTTAAGACATGAAGGTCAGTCAATCCGAAAAATTTCAAACTTTGAAAGTTTCTTCAATTGCAGTCGCAAAAACAATCAAGCGCTATGATGAAACTGGCTCTCATGAGGACCACCACAGGAATGGAAGACCCAGAGTTACCTCTGCTGCAGAGGATAAGTTCATTAGAGTTACCAGCCTCAGAAATTGCAGCCCAAATAAATGCTTCACAGAGTTCAAGTAACAGACACATCTCAACATCGACTGTTCAGAGGAGACTGTGTGAATCAGGCCTTCATGGTCGAATTGCTGCAAAGAAACCACTACTAAAGGACACCAATAAGAAGAAGAGACCTGCTTGGGCCAAGAAACACGAGCAATGGACATTAGACTGGTGGAAATCTGTCCTTTGGTCTGGAGTCCAAATTGGAGATTTTTGGACTTATTTACAATGACGGCCTACCCCAGCCAAACTCTCCCCTAACCCAGACGACGCTGGGCCAATTGTGAACCGCCCTATGGGACTCCTGATCACGGCTGGTTTTGATCGAACCAGGGTTTGTAGTGACGTCTCTAGCACTGAGATGCAGTGCCTTAGACCGCTGCGCCACTCGGGAGCCCAAAAAGCTTAGTGGGACTATTGTTTGTTTTTCAATAGCACAATGACAAAAAACACACCTCCAGGCTGTGTAAGGGCTATTTGACCAAGAAGGAGAGTGATGGAATGCTGCATCAGATGACGTGGCCTCCACAATCACCTGACCTCAACCCAATTGAGATGGTTTGGGATGAGTTGGACTGCAGAGTGAAAGAAAAGCAGCCAACAAGTGCTCAGCATATGTGGGAACTCCTTCAAGACTGTTGGAAAAGCATTCCTCATGAAGCTGGTTGAGAGAATGCCAAGAGTGTGCAAAGCTGTCATCAAGGCAAAGGGGTGGCTACTTTGAAGAATCTAAAATCTAAAATATATTTTGATTTGTTTAACACTTCCATATGTGTTATTTAAAAGTTTTGATGTCTTCACTATTATTCTACAATGTAGAAAATAGTAAAAATAAAGAAAAACCCTTGAATGAGTAGGTGTGTCCAAACTTTTGACTGGTACTGTACATAAATATTCAGACCCTTTGCTATGAGACTCGAAATTGAGCTCAGGTGCATCCTGTTTCCATTGATCATCCTTGAGATGTTTCTACAACTTGATTGGAGTCCACCTGTGGAAAATTCAATTGACTGGACATGATTTGAAAAGGCACACACCTGTCTATATAAGGTCCCACAGTTGACAGTGCATGTCAGAGCAAAAACCAAGCCATGAGGTCGAAGGAATTGTCTGTAGAGCTCCGAGACTGAGCAATCAGGGGAGAAGGGCCTTGGTCAGAGAGGTGACCAAGAACCCAATGGCCACTCTGACAGAGCTCCAGAGTTCCTCTGTAGAGATTGGAGAACCTTCCAGAAGGACAACCATCTCTGCAACAGACGCAAGCCACTCCTCAGTAAAAGGCACATGACAGCCCACTTGGAGTTTGCCAAAAGGCACCTAAAGGACTCTCAGACCATGAGAAACAAGATTCTCTGGTCTGATGAAACCAAGATTTAACTCTTTGGCCTGAATGCCAAGAGTCACGTCTGGAGGAAACCTGGCACCATCCCTACGGTGAAGCATGGTGGTGGCAGCATCATGCTGTGGGGATGTTTTTGAGCGGCAGGGACTGGGAGACTAGTCAGGATCGAGGGAAAGATGAACGGAGCTTAGTACAGTGAGATCCTTGATGAAAATCTGCTCCAGAGCGCTCAGGACCTTAGACTGGGGCGAAGGTTCACCTTCCAACTGGATAATGACCCTAAGCACACAGCCAAGACAACGCAGGAGGGGCTTCGGCACAAGTCTCTGAATGTTCTTGAGTGGCCCAGCCAGAACCCAGACTTGAACCCAGTCGAACATCTTTGGAGAGACCTGAAAATAGCTGTGCAGTGACGCTCCCCATCCAACCTGGCAGAGCTTGAGAGGATCTGTAGAGAAGAATGGGAAAAACTCCCCAAATACAGGTGTGCCAAGCTTGTAGCGTCATACCCAAGAAGACTCGATGCTGTAATCGCTGCCAAAGGTGCTTCAACAAAGTACTGAGAAGAGGGTCTGAATACTTAGTGGGGGAAAAAAGTATTTAGTCAGCCACCAACTGTGCAAGTTCTCCCACTTAAAAAGATGAGAGAGGCCTGTACATGTTCATCATAGGTACACGTCAACTATGACAGACAAATTGAGAAGAAGAAAAATCCAGAAAATCACATTGTAGGATTTTTTATGAATTTATTTGCAAATTATGGTGGAAAATAAGTCTTTGGTCACCTACAAACAAGCAAGATTTCTGGCTCTCACAGACCTGTAACTTCTTCTTTAAGAGGCTCCTCTGTCCTCCACTCGTTACCTGTATTAACGGCACCTGTTTGAACTTGTTATCAATATAAAAGACACCTGTCCACAATCTCAAACAGTCACACTCCAAACTCCACTATGGCCAAGACCAAAGAGCTGTCAAAGGACACCAGAAACAAAATAGTAGACCTGCACCAGGCTGGGAAGACTGAATCTGCAATAGGTAAGCAGCTTGGTTTGAAGAAATCAACTGTGGGAGCAATTATTAGGAAATGGAAGACATACAAGACCACTGATAATCTCCCTCGATCTGGGGCTCCACGCAAGATCTCACCCTGTGGGGTCAAAATGATCACAAGAACGGTGAGCAAAAATCCCAGAACCACACGGGGGGACCTAATGAATGACCTGCAGAGAGCTGGGACCAAAGTAACAAAGCCTACCATCAGTAACACACTACGCCGCCAGGGACTCAAATCCTGCAGTGCCAGACGTGTCCCCCTGCTTAAGCCAGTACATGTCCAGGCCTGTCTGAAGTTTGCTAGAGTGCATTTGGATGATCCAGAAGAGGATTGGGAGAATGTCATATGGTCAGATGAAACCAAAATATAACTTTTTGGTAAAAACTCAACTCGTCGTGTTTGGAGGACAATGAATGCTGAGTTGCATCCAAAGAACACCATACCTACTGTGAAGCATGGGGGTGGAAACATCATGCTTTGGGGCTGTTTTTCTGCAAAGGGACGAGGACGACTGATCCGTGTAAAGGAAAAAATGAATGGGGCCATGTATCGTGAGATTTTGAGTGAAAACCTCCTTCCATCAGCAAGGGCATTGAAGATGAAACATGGCTGGGTCTTTCAGCATGACAATGATCCCAAACACACCGCCCGGGCAACGAAGGAGTGGCTTTGTAAGAAGCATTTCAAGGTCCTGGAGTGGCCTAGCCAGTCTCCAGATCTCAACCCCATAGAAAATCTTTGGAGGAAGTTGAAAGTCTGTGTTGCCCAGCAACAGCCTCAAAACATCACAGCTTTAGAGGAGATCTGCATGGAGGAATGGGCCAAAATACCAGCAACAGTGTGTGAAAACCTTGTGAAGACTTACAGAAAACGTTTGACCTGTGTCATTGCCAACAAAGGGTATATAACAAACTATTGAGAAACTTTTGTTATTGACCAAATACTTATTTTTCACCATAATTTGCAAATAAATTCATACAAAATCCTACAATGTGATTTTCTGGATTTTCTTTCTCATTTCGTCTGTCATAGTTGACGTGTACCTATGATGAAAATTACAGGCCTCTCTCATCTTTTTAAGTGGGAGAACTTGCACAATTGGTGGCTGACTAAATACTTTTTTCCCCCACTGTATGTAAATGTGATATTTCAGTTCTTAATTTTTTATGAATTTGCTAAAAATTCTAAAAACCTGTTTTTGCTTTGTCAGTATGGGGTATTGTGTGCAGATTGATGAGGGAAAAAAACAATTTAATATATTTTAGAATAAGGCTGTAACGTAACAAAGTGTGGAAAAAGTCAAGGGGTCTGAATACTTTCCGAATGCACTGTAAATATGTAGGGGAGGGGAGGGAGGGAGGGAGGGAGGGAGGGAGGGGCAGGGAGAGAGAGGGATGGAGAGAGATGGGGAAGAGAGTTAGGGAGGAGGAGGAGGGAGAAGTAGAGGGTTTTGAGTGTAATTAATCAGCTCTCAAAGCAATTTTTCTTTCTCCATCTCTGTACCTCTCTCTCACCCATACCTCAGTATCTCTGAATTTTGTGATACCAAGAGCCTGGACTCTGGTGTGTGTGGGGGGGGGGGGGGGGGGGAATACCATCAACAACACATAGTACCCACATGGTTCTAACCTGGTACAGTACTGTACACACAATCTTGCGTGTGTGTGTGTGCGTACTCACAGTCTTTGGCTCGATGGACTCGGCAGCCTTGGTCATTCCGTCTAGACATTTCCCTACGATAGGCAGCACCTCACGGTCCACCTCCGCGTATGTCTTCATGGACACACCCACCCTCTCGATCCGCCTCTCCTCCATCTCCTGGAGTTTCTACATACACACAAACACACACAGATCCTTATTACAACGCTATAACATCAGCATCCTATTACATACTATAAGACAGTAGACGATGTCTATAATTGGTTCAAAGATACTGTAGCTAGGAGGTTGCTTCCCAAACTGGCACTGACACCACTGGCCAGCAAGCCAACTCCATCACTATCACTGGCTATAGAGAGGCCGTGGATAACATCAGAGCCGGCAAGCCAACTGCTTCACCGTCATGGCATCACTATCATCAAACTATCATCTAACTCAAATGGGTTGCCAACAGATGCACCAGTCTTCACTCCGCTGTGAAGGAACTCTACGATGGCATTATCTTCATCAACTTCTTTAGTGTATTAATCTACATAATTGTTAATAAGAAGACCACAATGAAAATAATTTAATTAGCTTTTTTGTGTCATCCTCGATGATTTTAAATGCATTGTGTGTCACGAATTCAGCCGAGGCTGCCCCTCCTCCTTGCTCGGGTAGGTTTCGGCGTTTGTCGTCACCAGCTTACTAGCAACTACCGCTCCATTTATCATCACTCCATTTCTCTTGTCTTGTCTTGTCTTGTCAATCACACACACCTGGTACTCATTCCCTCAGTCTGTGTATAAGGGTTCCCTCTGCCCCCTTGTCCTTTGTGAGTGATTGTTCATTGTGAGAGTGAGTAGCTCGATCGAGAGCAGGTGTCCGTCCTCATTTCCTGCCTCTCAGGGAAAGCCCTGGAGTGGGCCAACGCGGTTTGGAGAGAATGAGGAGCCGCGTTGGAGGACTACAGGGAGTTCACCCGCCTATTTCGGGCGGTTTTCGATCGAGAGGCGGGTGAGCAGCTGGTCCACTTGAGGCAGGGGACGAGGACAGTACAGGAGTTCGCGCTGGAGTTCCGGATTTTGGCAGCAGGATCCGGGTGGAACAAGCAGGCCCTGGTCAACCAGTTCCTGTGCCACAGGAGGACGTCCGACGGGAGCTAGCCTGCCGTGACACCAGTTTGTCTTTTACCGAACTGGTGGACATAGCAATTAGTCTGGATAACCTGCTGGCAACCAGAGGACGTCCTGGAGGAGGTCTGCCCGTTCCCGCCCCGACCAACACGGATCCAGAGCTCATGGAGCTGGGTGGTACAGAGCACCGAGAGAGCGGAAGACAACAGCGCCAGTGCCAATCGGATGGCACGAAGGGACATTCCACCACACGTTGTCGTCAGCGCTCTTTTGGGTCAGGAGGCGGCAGGCAGGGCACTCTCGCATCACCCCAGGTATTGAGCACCCACACTTGTTCAGAGCCCTCTGCTGTGCATTGTACCATACCCATATACTTCCCTGATTACATGAGAGTTCCCAAGTGTAAGGCGCTGGTAGATTCAGGCGCAGCTGGGAACTTTATGGATAAAACTTTCGTACGCCGCCAGAGCATTTTATTAGTTCCCCTATCCATTCCACGCCCCATCAGAGCACTTGATAGTCGACCATTAGGGTCCGGGTTGATAAAGGAAGTCACGGTACCAGTCACCATGATCACACAGGAGACGCATTGTGAGCAGGTCACTTTTTCCATCATTGAGTCTCCTGCTTTCCCTGTGGTGTTAGGTATTCCGTGGCTAGCACTCCACAACCCCACTTTCTCATGGCCGCAGAGGGTTCTCACGGGGTGGTCGCGAGAGTGTCAGGGTAGGTGTCTGTGTGTTTCCGTTGGTGCAACCACGGTGGAAAGTCCAGACGCTGCCTCCACCGTGCGCATTCCCCCCGAATACCATGATCTGGCACAAGTTTTCTCCAAGAATAAAGCAACTAAATTGCCACCTCATCGGGCGGGGGATTGCGCAATAAACCTTCGGGTAGACGCTGTACCTCCCAGGAGTCATGTGTATCCCCTGTCGCGGGCGGAGATGGAGGCTATGGAGACATACGTCCGAGTCCCTGCGCCAGGGGTAGATACGTCCCTCCACTTCACCCGCCCCTCGAGTTTCTTTTTTGTGAAGAAGAAAGACGGCGGTCTGCGCCCGTGCATCGAACACTGAACAAGGAGACGATTAGATTTAGTTATCCTCTCCCCCTTATTCCGTCAGTGGTTGAGCATGGAGCGCGCTTCTTCACTAAATTAGATCTCAGGAGTGCGTACAACCTGGTGCGTATCCGAGAGGGAGATGAGTGGAAGACAGCATTCAGCACAACCACGGGGCATTATGAATACCTGGTGATGCCCTATGGTTTGATGAATGCTCCCTCAGTCTTCCAGTCCTTTGTAAACGAGGTGTTTTGGGACATGCTTGGTCGCGGTGTAGTGGTCTACATCGATGACATCTTGGTGTATTCCGCTACGCACGCCGAGCATGTGTCCCTGGTTCGCAAAGTACTGGCCCGACTGTTGGAAAATGACCTTTATGCTAAGTCAGAAAAGTGTATGTTTTTCCAGCAGTCCGTCTCCTTCCTCGGATACCGCATTTCTACCACAGGTGTGGAGATGGAGGGCGACCGCATTGCAGCCGTGCGTAATTGGCAGACTCCAACCACGGTAAAGGAGGTGCAGCGCTTCCTTGGCTTCGCCAACTATTATCGGAGGTTTATCCGGGGCTTTGGCAAGGTCGCAGCTCCCATTACATCTCTGTTGAAGGGTGGGCTGTCCCGGCTCCGCTGGTCTGCTGAGGCTGACAGGGCCTTCAGTAACCTGAGGGAACTGTTCACCTCTGCCCCAGTACTGGCCCACCCCGATCCATCACTACCGTTCGTAGTGGAGGTGGATGCGTCCGAAGTTGGGATGGGAGCAGTCCTGTCTCAACGCTCGGGCACGCCACCCAAGCTCCGCCCCTGTGCGTTCTTCTCAAAGAAGCTCAGCCGGCGTAGCAGAACTACGGCATTGGTGATCGGGAGCTGTTGGCTGTTGTCCGAGCTCTGACAGTGTGGAGACATTGGCTCGAGGGGGCAAAACACCCATTCCTCGTCTGGACAGACCACCGTAACCTGGAGTACATCTGGGCAGCGAGGAGGCTGAACCCTCGCCAGGCCAGGTGGGCCCTATTCTTCACCCGGTTTGATTTCACACTGTCATACATTCCGGGTACGAAGAACGTGAAGGCAGACGCACTGTCCCGGCTGTATGATACAGAGGAGAGGCCCAGCGACAATACCCTCATACTGCCAGACTCATGCATTGTGGCGCCGGTAGTATGGGCAATGGACGCGGATATAGCGCAGGCATTACGCACAGATCCATCTCCACCGCAGTGTCCAGCTGGGCTGCAGTATGAGGGTACTGTCCACCTGGTACTCATTCCCTCATTAGTCTGTGTATAAGTGTTCCCTCTGCCCCCTTGTCCTTTGTGAGTGATTGTTCATTGTGAGAGTGAGTAGCTCGTATGTAACCAAGGTGGATTTTTTTTACTGCTAGTTTCGTTTTGACGCTTGCTGCACTTTATTCATGTACACTGAATAAACTCTGGATTTCTGTGTTTTACCTCCTGCGCCTGACTCCGTCATTTACACCTCATCACATTGTGTCCATAAGTTGGGGTTGTATTGTATTGTACATGGTCAATTAAGTCAAAAGACACTGACACAGATGAGGGCAGTGTTGTATGTAGTAATGTGTATTTTCTTTTGGTTACCTGGAATATATTGGGGATGAGGGTGTAGTAATGTGTAGTAATACCTGGAATATATTGGGGATGAGGGTGTAGTAATACATGGAATATATTGGGGATGAGGGTGTAGTAATGTGTGGTATTACTTGGAATATATTGGGGATGAGGGTGTAGTAATACCTGGAATATATTGGGGATGGGGGTGTAGTATTACCTGGAATATATTGGGGATGAGGATGTATGATTACCTGTAATATATTGGGGATGAGGGTGTAGTAATGTATAGTAATATCTGGAATATATTGGGGATGAGGGTGTAGTAATGTGTGGTATTACCTGGAATATATTGGGGATGAGAGTTTAGTAATGTATAGTAATACCTGGAATATATTGGGGATGAGAGTTTAGTAATGTATAGTAATACCTGGAATATATTGGGGATGTGGGTGTAGTATTACCTGGAATATATTGGGGATGAGGGTGTAGTAATGTATAGTAATACCTGGAATATATTGGTGATGAGGGTGTAGTAATGTGTGGTATTACCTGGAATATATTGGGGATGAGGGTGTAGTATTACCTGGAATATATTGGGGATGAGGGTGTAGTAATACCTGGAATATATTGGGGATGGGGGTGTAGTATTACCTGGAATATATTGGGGATGAGGATGTATGATTACCTGTAATATATTGGGGATGAGAGTTTAGTAATGTATAGTAATACCTGGAATATATTGGGGATGAGAGTTTAGTAATGTATAGTAATACCTGGAATATATTGGGGATGTGGGTGTAGTATTACCTGGAATATATTGGGGATGAGGGTGTAGTAATGTATAGTAATACCTGGAATATATTGGGGATGAGGGTGTAGTATTACCTGGAATATATTGGGGATGAGGGTGTAGTAATACCTGGAATATATTGGGGATGAGGGTGTAGTATTACCTGGAATATATTGGGGATGAGGGTGTAGTATTACCTGGAATATTTTGGGGAAGAGGGTGCAGTATTACCTGGAATATATTGGGGATGAGGGTGTAGTATTACCTGGAATATATTGGGGATGAGGGTGTAGTATTACCTGGAATATATTGGGGATGAGAGTGTAGTAATGTTCATTCTGCTCCTGGTTGAACTTGGTCAGGTAGTTGGAGTATTCAGTCTTACTGTCTGCAGCCATCTGGTGTCTCATCTGAGCCTGCTGCCGCGCCTGAGGAGGACAAACACACACATCACACATACACACTTAATGAACTTGGTGCCTTCATGACTCACACGCACACCCACACATACTATCACAGATGCAGGTCTGTTGAGGGAGAAGCAGTAGCAGAAGCCATTAGCAACACACAGTGTATGTCTAGTGATACACAAACACACGAACAGGAAATAACCTAATGAGCCACAACCTAACCCTTGAATGAGAGGAATGGAATTCACCACAGACTAAAGAGTTCTATGTCATGTCATCTGTCATGTGATCCTCAGACAGTCCTCACCATAGTGTAGGTCAGGGCCGCCCAAAGGGAGGTCAGCATGCAGGCACCCCAGCCATAGTGCATCAGAGACAGTACTGTAGCAGCCCATCAGAGACAGTACTGTAACAGCCCATCAGAGACAGTACTGTAACAGCCCATCATAGACAGTACTGTAACAGCCCACAGCCCATCAGAGACAGTACTGTAGCAGCCCATCAGAGACAGTACTGTAACAGCCCATCAGAGACAGTACTGTAACAGACCATCAGAGACAGTACTGTAACAGACCATCAGAGACAGTACTGTAACAGACCATCAGAGACAGTACTGTAACAGCCCATCAGAGACAGTACTGTAGCAGCCCATCAGAGACAGTACTGTAACAGCCCATCAGAGACAGTACTGTAACAGCCCATCAGAGACAGTACTGTAACAGCCCATCAGAGACAGTACTGTAGCAGCCCATCAGAGACAGTACTGTAGCAGCCCATCAGAGACAGTACTGTAACAGCCCATCAGAGACAGTACTGTAACAGCCCATCAGAGACAGTACTGTAACAGCCCATCAGAGACAGTACTGTAACAGCCCATCAGAGACAGTACTGTAACAGCCCATCAGAGACAGTACTGTAACAGCCCATCAGAGACAGTACTGTAGCAGCCCATCAGAGACAGTACTGTAACAGCCCATCAGAGACAGTACTGTAACAGCCCATCAGAGACAGTACTGTAACAGCCCATCAGAGATAGTACTGTAACAGACCATCAGAGACAGTACTGTAGCAGCCCATCAGAGACAGTACTGTAACAGCCGATCAGAGACAGTACTGTAACAGACCATCAGAGACAGTACTGTAACAGCCCATCAGAGACAGTACTGTAACAGCCCATCAGAGACAGTACTGTAACAGACCATCAGAGACAGTACTGTAGCAGCCCATCAGAGACAGTACTGTAACAGCCCATCAGAGACAGTACTGTAACAGCCCATCAGAGACAGTACTGTAACAGCCCATCAGAGACAGTACTGTAACAGCCCATCAGAGACAGTACTGTAACAGCCCATCAGAGACAGTACTGTAACAGCCCATCAGAGACAGTACTGTAACAGCCCATCAGAGACAGTACTGTAGCAGCCCATCAGAGACAGTACTGTAACAGACCATCAGAGACAGTACTGTAACAGCCTGTACACCAGGCCTGACCCTGTCAAAATAAAAAAATAACAAATTCATATGGAACATTTTTGGGAGCTTTTATTTCAGCTCATGAAACCAACACTTTACATGTTGCGTTTATATTTTTGTTCAGTGTAGAATTGATCCAAACCCTGATTTCTACAACACTGCAGGTCTGAGACCTGTTCCTGTCTCTCCTCCCTACACCTGGTCTAAACCAGGCATGTTTATCTCAGGTCTGTTTAACCAGATTAGAAACAGTAATTAAACTGCAGGTCACCCTCACTGGCACGCACAATGAACCCAAGGTAACAATGTCAAAATAATGCTGTCGCTGTCACAAAGACCATGGTCATGACTAATGACTAATGGATACTACTAATGGATACTACTGACCGTTAACAAAAACAACATGTCAAGAACACGGTACTAGAGAGGGACATGGCCAGAGTATATCTCAGAGTCCTGGCAGGAGCAATAGAAGGACAATGTCCAGTTCCTCCTCCCACACCTCTTCCTCCTCCGAGGGCTGGCATAAGAATCAAATGGAGGAGGGACACATCTTCTTGACTACCACACCTATACAGAGTGAACAGAGCGGTAAATGTGTGTAAGAGAGAGGCAGGTGTGTGGAAGGATAGATACACATCACCCTGGCAACACTACTGATCAACAAACCTCAAACTCTAACCTCAGCTGCATCACATCCTGTTGACGCACTAGGCAGTAAACAGCAGCTAACCTAGCTCTGTATAATACACACACACACCGAACACACACCTCTTCTGCAGAAGACACTTTAATCTCTGAAACTAATCTAAAATCACAAAGCTAATCTGAGACTGAAATCTCTTAAGGCTCGCACATATCGCACCGAATGTGGATCTAGCGTTCGTCTGCCGGTCATTCATCGTGTTGTAAATTCGGTGCACACTCAGTTCGCAAATTACGTTCAGAGGTGCAAAGTACTCTGGGCCAGCAAAAGCTATTGGTGTGTCTGAGCCGTTCCAGAAATAAATAAATGCACCTTACAGACATACATGTGATCCCTTGAGTGTTTTGAATAAAGGAAAAAGGGACAGACATTTTTTTCTGATGCTTTTGCTTGCATAGCCACATAAGCTAAGCAAGATGTTGATTAATCTGAACGGTGTTACGGATAAAGCAAGCAGAAGGTTTTGACAAATACACACATGAAGAGACTGAGCGATATAGGGCTAAACTCTCACAGAAAAAACAACAGGTATGAAGACACAACAAACAGACCTCCAAAGGCAACTTATTATGCTAAAAACCAACCCTACAATACAGAGATATATAGACACACCTGAGAGGACAGAGGACAGTGCTCAGTATTGGACAGAGTGCAGATATAGGACAGTGCTCAGTGTTGAACAAAGTCCAGATATAGGACAGTGCTCAGTATTGAACAAAGTCCAGATATAGAACAGTGCTCAATACGGGTAGCTGAGGTCACTAACATCCCACTGGGCACAGACGTCAATTCAACGTCTATTCCATGTTGGTTCAATGTAATTTCATTTAAATGAAGTGGAATCAAAGTTGATTCAACCAGTGTGTGCTTGAATAGGTGATTGTGTTTTGGGGTGACCCGTGTATGCGATGAGAAACAAGGTTGAGAGTCGAGACAGTGTGTGTGTGTGTGTTCCCACAGATATAACACATGCTCTGCCCAGTGTGGACCTACCTTGTAGGAACTTCGCTTCAAGGTATGGCAGAAAAATAAATAACAACAGAAACACACACACAAAGTTAGCCACTTCCTGCTGAACAGGAAGCAGGAAGCTTTTATAGACCCTGCGTAGTCATAGCTACACGTCCTGGACCAATGAGGATGAGTTCACCCAGAGAAGAAGTGGGTGGCTGAGGGATAAACACACACTCTGCCAAGGCCAGAACAGAGGCTAACAAAATCATGTTATGGCTTCTTCAACAATGGTATTGTTAACCACAGTAGCTCAACACATAACTCAATAGTGAAATTGCTGTGTGAGGGGCTCCAGGTGGTAGGCCTAGTTACTTTCTAGAGTACTTTACAACTGACACTTATAATAATAATATTAATAATAATATGCCATTTAGCAGACGCTTTTATCCAAAGCGACTTACAGTCATGTGCGCGTACATTTCTACGTATGGGTGGTCCCGGAGATCGAACCCACTACCCTGGCGTTACAAGCACCATGCTCTACCAATTGAGCTACAGAGGACCACACTTGAGGGGCACCGAGCGGTAGGCCTTCTTTTCTACTTTCTTCAGTGTTTTCCAGCGGAGACTACACTTCATAGGAGACTCAGTAAAAGTCCACACAGAGCCATAAGGGGACATGTCTTAATCTAAGCGGCGAAGCGGCCAAACCGTAATTTGAGGGATTTGTCCGCCAGTGGAGGATAGGGAGCAGTTTGAGGTTTGCACCAGCTGCTTACCAAACCACAAGAACCCCAACTCAACAAACTCCAGCCTCTCTGGATTATACCCAGTGATATGGTCCTAACTAAGACTACACAGCCCCAGAGTTCCCTAGTCTAAATATATCCCATGTGGAATACTGCTATTATCTTAAACATAGCTAGTGAGTGTATTTGAAGATTTACGCTGCAGTTTTCTCATTACTGAATTATCTGAATTCTCTCAGTAGTGCTTGAGATGTCATACCACAACACCACAAGAAGACAGCTAAACACTTAGCCTATAACCATCACTATAACAAATGAACACATTAATGGTTAGGATGGTGACATGTCATGTCTTCCGATGATGTAATACTCCACAGTCTCCTAAATGATGGAGGGAATCTGTCTCTGCAGTCAGAGGAGGAACACATGAAGGCGTTTGGTTTCACATGGCTGATCTGTTTGCCAGGATCATCTAGCAGCGTATTATGTGGCCTGGTTAATACACTAAATAGTGAAAGGCAGACCCTAACAGACCATGATACATAGAAAGTGATGGATTTAGTACATGATTTAGTACTAATGACATCAGTGTGGTGGCAATCTTGTGTCCATGATATCATGTGCCAGTGTGTGTTTCCAGAATGAGAGAGTGTTAGGAGTAACACAGCTCACATTAAAATAGAAAGGCTTCATCCACCTCAGCTCTCTGATTCCCTGGCTGGAACAAAGAACTGCCACGACAACAGAAACAAGACAAACGTTGAGTAACTGTTGGAAATAAAAGGCACAGAGTAAAATAGCAGATGCTGGCAATTATGTAAAAATAAAAGGGAGTAAAAAAAATCAAATGAATGTCAGTCCCAATGTCAGCTGGGTATTGTAAAAGAGGAAATGTAATAATTGATATTTCTTTTATTTTCTCAATTTCATCAGATAGAAAGTGAATCTGATGTGAGAGGAGGCGAGTGATGTCAGTCAGACAGACACTCACACAACAGATACTATGTATGAATAATGTAGGGTCTGTAAACATTACTGCAGTCTTTCATTAGATAGCGACACACACACACACACACACACACAACTGGGAACACAGCAATGTGTGTGTGTGTGTGTGGGGGGGGGGGGTGAGCATCTACAGACTCATGCATATCTATGAAAGGGCCAGTTTAACACAAGTGGAATGTTTGTCAGACTTTCCACTGGCTATAAACTCTACATACAAAACTCCAGAGCAAGAGTTATGTTGTCTTCCCTTACCATAATATTATATAGAGTGTCACATATTGAGTTTACATGACTAACACCAATCTTCAAATGCATTAAAAACATCCTTGTTATCACTAAAGACTTGTTTGTTTCTCAAAACCAAGCAGTGAATAACTTGACAGATGATAATTTCCACTAACACAGGGGACTCAGACACAGTGCCAGACTTGGTATGTGTTTGTGCTGGTTGCTGAGGGAGAAGCAGGGCTGATACTCTAT